GCTGTTCAAGCCACTCTCTCAAGCCTACTCTAACGAGCTCACTAACCATCTCCATAAGGCTCAAGGCCTTATTCCAATCAAGAAAGGGGACTTCTTCCCGCTCTTCTGGAGCGCCTGGATATCCTCCTTCACAGAGAGCCTCATATTGAAGGCCTTCGAAGCCACTGGGATCTGGCCGATGGATGCCAACGTTATCCTTCGTAGATTTGCTAGCACGCCAGAAGCTGAGAGAAGCTCATCGTCAGGGCTCTCTGATCATGACTGGAGAAAGCTCGATCGGCTAGTACGAGCTGCTGTTAATGATAGCCATCAGTATGAGGCAAGAAAGCTGCGCTCAAGCGTTCACCATCTCTCTGTGCAGTATGAGCTTTTAAAGCATGAGAACGAGGGCTTAAAGGAGGCTCTTCAACATAAAAAGAAGCACAGGAAGAAGGGCAAAGCTCTTGACCTTCAACAGCGCCAGGAGTATCACGGTGGCTCTGTCTTCTGGTCTCCTCGCAAGCTGCGTGAGGCTCGAGCTAGAGAAGCAGTACGGGAGCGAGATGAGACGGAGGAGAAACTCCAAAAAGCACGGTCCAAGAAGCAGCGCGAGGAGGCTCGACTGCAGCGTCAAGATGAGCTCGAGGAGAGGCGTGTGGAGAGGCAGAGACTCAAGGAGATGAGGGAGCTTGAGCGAGCTGAGAAAGCAGCTGAACGCGCGCGCCAGAAGGAGGAGAGAGACGCTGCTAAAGCTATACAACTACCCCAAAAGGGAAAGAGGAGAGCTTCAGCAGCTACCTCATCGAACAACAAGCGTCAAAAACGCGTTGAGGCTGCTCGCGCTGGTGCTCAAGTTCAAGAAGAGCCTCCAGCTCCTCCATCAAAGCTCACATCACGTGGCCGCAACGTCAACCTCCCATCAAAATATAGATAGTACAAGTTGATCGCAAGCATCTAATTACTCCCCCTCTATAAATTCGTATAATAACAGCTTATATACGTGGCTTAATAGCTTCATTTTTGAAGTAGTGGATATGGTGTTCCCCGCGCATCACGCGAATCCGCGCATCACGCGCACGGACACGTTAACAGTCTTACCGAGGTTGCTAATGCTCGAGCAACACCTCAGCGTCGGGATACATCCCAAAACGCTCCACGTCACGACGAGATCAGTGCATCATTTGATGCCCGTAACATACTCGATGGACGTCGTCGCATCACTCGACCGCCCAACCGATACGCGGCAGTCTCTCGTTGCTTTGCTACGGCAATTACAGAGGCAACAACAACAGACTTACCGCCTGAGCCTGCCACACGCAAGGCAGCACGCCTTCATCCATACAGCAAGCAATGGATCGCTGCTGAAGATGAAGAGCTCGTATCACTCGACCAGAATGGCACATGGGAGACCACAACCACGATCCCTCCCGACGTATACGCCCTGCCTACTAAGTGGGTATACAAATACAAAGTCAAGGACGATGGACAACTCGAGCGCTTCAAGGCTCGACTGGTTGTCTGTGGCAATAGGCAGGAGACCGACTTCTGGCGCGAAACCTACGCTGCAGTAGCTCGCGCAACTACACTGAAAGTCCTTCTCGCCCTTGTCGCAACCGAAGACTTAGAATGCGAGCAAGCAGACGTTGTTACCGCCTTTCTCAACGGTAAACTAGACAAAGACGAAGTAGTCTATGTCCGCCTGCCAGACGGACGCAAAGCCAAGCTTATCAAAGCTTTGTACGGCCTGCGCCGCTCACCACGCCTCTGGTACAATGAGCTATCGAGCTATCTCAAGGGTATCGGCTTAGATCCTTTAGAGTCAGATCCATGTGTCTTCAAACACCTAGACGGCAGTCTTATCCTTGCGTATGTTGATGATATCATCTTCATCACAGCTACGAAGCAACGCATGAAGGAGATCAAAGAGGCTGTATACAAGAAGTACAAGTGTCGAGATCTAGGACCAATCTCTCACTACCTAGGTCTCCGGATCCGACGCTCACGACCATCCCGACTCATCGAGATCTCAATGGAGTCATATGTCGACAAGCTTGTAGAGGAGTATAGTCGTCAACACGCGCTCCCTCGCTACACGCCGCTTGATACCTCAGTACTCAAGTTGAAGCTGCGATCTCCAACTGATCTTGCAACTCAACAACAAATTCAGAACTACCAAAAGGTTATTGGCAAGCTGCTGTATCCAGCAACCCAACTGCGAGCTGATATATCCTTCCACGTCGCCTATCTCGCCCGCGCTATGAGCAATCCAACTCAACAACACTACGAGTACGCAATCCAGATCATCGACTATCTCAAGACCTTCAAATCTCTTGTAATGAGCTATCGAGCTACATCTCCACACGCACGCATGCCTATCACCATGTATGCGACATCATACGATGACAACAAGAACAACACTAATCCTACGCTACACCTACATGGCTACAGCGACGCCTCATTTGCTGACGGCGAGGACCGCAAATCAACCTCCGGATACTTGTTCAAACTTGCTGGAGGTACTATCTGTCACAAGTCAGTCAAGCAAAAGCTAGTTACAACCTCAACAACTGAAGCTGAGTACGCTGCTCTTACCTACGCCGCTAAGGAGGCTACCTGGCTGTACCGTCTGCTACACCAGCTCGGTTACAACGGTACAGATACCCATCCTATCCTTATCTACGGAGACAACGCTCCATCTATACAGCTACTACACTCAGAGGGTCATCACGAGCGTACAAAGCACGTCGATATCTACTACCATTACATCAAGGATCAAGTCCGCGACGGCAACCTCTACGTAGAGCATGTACGAACTCATGAGATGGCTGCTGACGGCCTCACGAAACCTCTTGAACGACAAGCCCACAGCAGGTATCTACAACAGCTAGGCCTTACGACTCCAACTATCGAAACAAAGGACTACAACAAAGGTGGATAGAGCAGGACTATCAGGTCCTGTGGGGGTGTGTCGAGACGCGGTGAGAGCCTTCACTAGTATTCACGGTGAATCAGGCTTCCCGTGCTCTGATTGGCCAGGCACTGATTAGTCAGCTGCTCCGTGCGCGCACCATAGATATTCTCCCTTCTCCCGTAGCTCCAATACAACAAGTTCACGCACGTTTTCTCCACCTTCATCACTAATCTCAAAAATCCGCTACGTAAACAACTGCACAACTATCTAGCATCCCATCCGTGGCGTCACCGTGGCTTCACATTCAGCGATTCCGCCCCCTGTCAGCAAATAGCATTCACCGGAACACAATCCACTCCAACCTCCATCTCACCCTCCAAAACCCGCCCATCCCCCACCACATCTTCATCTCCACGATCTGCCTTTCCTCCACACACGCACACATCCACCCTCGTCACGAGCCCTCCCATGATTCGCACTCAGCATCGCCCTTACCCCCGCCGATCCAAAGTTCTCGATCACCGCCACAATCGCCGGCCGCACAGATGCGCCCCCACCCCGCAACGCTAACCCCATTTGTCACGGTACCTATGTGTTGTCGCCACCTACTCCACATGCATGGCTGCTCAAACGCGGCTTCTGAAACAACACCATGGAAAGTTCAGGCTGGTCAGGCTGTCACTGGCCTCTCTTCTAGTCCTGTCGCATCACACACTGCATTACATAGTGAACCTTTTTGCGTTTGTAATCAATCAATCAACGTCATGTCATGTCATAAATGTCAGATGTCGGGCTGGGACTCCTGTCTGCATTGTGACGGACGGAACACGTGGAAACTTTCCTTTTTGTCTATTTCAAATCTTTGCAACAAACTCGGCCGCCTTATTTTTCGTTATCGCCCGTGTTGATCGTTGTGAGGAAGTTATTGTAATGCGCTGTGATGAATGTCATCACTAACCATGTTTTTTTGCTGATATGGTGCAGCATCATGATCAGCATCACTATCACCCACCGGTAAACTTTACTTGACAACAGGCAAATCCCCGGGCCGGTGAACACTAACATGGTATCGCAATTCTGGAAAGACCGTAGGGGCGATGAGATGCGGAAGTGTACATTCCCGAGAGAACCGTACAATCTTACCCTGCTCTGAGAGTCGGTCAACTAGTCATCACCCATCACGGCCCGACATCAAGCCAACATACTGAATCAGTTGAACTTATCAATTTCCAATACATATACGACTTGTCTCGACGACAGAAAAAAAGATTGATCGAGGCCATCCAGCCAATACAGCCGCCCAGGACAAATTGGATCACCAAGTGGTCCATCCAGTCACGTGGCCAGCGTTCTGGGCTTCCACTTGCTGACTGCGTGTCTGCATGCGCAGGCAGGTGGCACGACCACACACGCAAGTGCTTACGGTACCTCCCCTTCTACCGTAAGCACAAGCTTTTTTTTCAATACCGCCGGCAAGTGCCGGAAAAGCCGTGAGGCTGATCGTTTGGACGGTTTCTCGGCGGAATATTTGCGGGGCGCTCGTATACGTATGTACGCGTAAATTTCCCAATCTGTGCGTGGAAATGATGATAATTCCTTTGACCCGTATCTTATCCATGGGAGGAGATTGAGGCAAATTGGTGTATGTACATCACTTCTAGGCTTTTTTTTTCTTCACTATCAACTTCACCACCGTAGTTTGTTTGTAGCGTAATTGCCGACGAGGAGATGTGTGCGACTGTATACACGCGCGAGAAAACATCACGTTGTGCGGAGACTTTTGCGCAGTGGTTAGTTTACTGGATCGTATTCGATCTATGGGTGTCGTCAAAACGGACAAGGGACAACGTCATCAGCTCAGGCTGAATTGCTTATCCCCTGCAAGCCGTCGCCAAACGTGAAACGACTGCAGTAATAAATTACCACTGCAGAACACATACATGGCAGCCTTCCCGAACCCCCAAAACAGCAAAACCCGAGTGTACTTCAAAACTTGCTTGTAATGCACATTTCCCGACCTCTGATAACACCGTGTCCAGCCCGGTGCCGGGTTATAATCTAGGCAGAACCCGAATCGTTTTGATCGTAAAAAAGATCTTTGTCAAAGAAAAAATCCGCTGAACTGGGAGGTATATTGCTGAGCACGAGGCCGAAAACAAAATGAGACAATATGAAATTAGAAAGGAAAAAGTATCAAGAGTACGGTCGCAGACACAGGACAATGCGGGTATAGAGTTTCAAGAGACAGGAAAGGAGATTGCCAGAGTTAACGCCTAGAACATACCACCCTCCATAGGTTGTTGAACGAGCGGTTGACCATTGATAGCACGCGGTGGTGAATTGTTGCGCTCTGTGAACCCGTTTTGGGGCATCGCCGGAGACGGTCCAGATTGGCTTGGTCCATCTCCCCGCAGACTCTTGCCCTCGCTCGACGTCTTTCGCAGCCTGCTCTTGGGCGCAGCCTGGTGGACTGCATCGGATGATTCGCTGCGGAAAGCTTCAGAGTAAGGTGCGCGCAGACCCTCCATGCCATGCTGTACCGCAGGATCATACGGCGATGGGCTAGATGGGCTTTGCGCCTCACCACGGCCAAATCCGAAACGACGTCTCATGGGGTTGATCGGTGGAACAGGTGGAGCGTTGACTTCTGCGCCGTTCTTGAGAGATGCACCTGGTGGAAGATTGATCGTGTCAATGACAGATGTTGTGGAAATGAAGACAGGCTCCCCGATTTCTGACTTCACAACGGACTTCTTGCGTAGTGGACCCTGCTTATTGAAGGGCTGTACAGTCTTTGGGTTGAAGGCCGTCGAACTGGGTGTCGTAGGGGTGGACACCGGAGGAGTATCATTAGCAGAGAATGGAGGCATCGGTGACGTCGACTGTGGTTGACCATTGCCGCTCATGTTGAAGCCGCCTGGGGAAGGTCTGGGTGATACGGGTAGCCCCGGGGAGAACTTGCCCTGAAGAGGGGAGCGAGAATTTTGGCCTGCTCCGCCATTGGTTTGGATGGGCTGAAGATGTTTTGACTCGAAATAGTTTGCGGCAGTGGTTTTGCTGTTGCTACGCGACCGCATACGACCCTGCGAATCAAGAGACGGTCTTTCGGTAGGAAGTGGCGGTGTAGAATGAGCGCTGTATCCAGAAACCGATGGGAGCGTGTTGGCTGGGTATGCGCCTCGCGACCCCTCGGTCATGGCTTGGTCCAAGTCATCACGGTACTGGTCGGTACGGCTACGAGAACGGCCTGAAGACGTTCCAGAACTCGAACGCTCTCGTGTCGAGCTTCTGGTAGACATGGGCCCGGATCGACCTGTGGGACGACCAGTCCGATTGCTATCCGTTCCTGACCGTTGTCGGTATTCATGTTCACGCTGAGCATCCTGCTCGCTTTGTTGAAGGAGTCGTGACGGCTTCGATCGTAGACCTGCCACATCAACCTCATTCTGACCGGCGAGTGAAGATGCTGCTGACATTCCCAGAGCTCGCAGGGCGGAGTTTCCTCACGGACTTGCTAAGAGACGTCACTGTGCGATGATTCACGATTCGACTTTGCCGGAGCATGTTCAACGCGTTCTTCAAGCCTCCAGATGGTCCAGGTGCAGGACTAAAAGACCGACCTTCTGCCTTGGCACGAAGA